ATCACCACCACCATCACCGCCAACCACCATGACCACGCCCACCACTCCTGTGCGTACCCCTCCCCCTTCCTCCCCCATCAGTCAAGAACCTGTTCAAGCTGCTGTGGCCAACGCTCTACCGCTCGCAGTACCACGCAAAAGAAAAGGCGATTCGATGGGGATTTATTGCCACGATTGTGCTGCTGCTGGCCTTCACCATTGCTGTTGTCGTGCCATACTTTACCGACGTCATGGACCTGTTCAGGTGCGGTGACGTGCACACGGCTGTTGCTGCTGCTGTCGCTGTTGCTGCTGCACTCATCCTGTTTCCTTATGTTTCTGCCCACACTTGTTCCCGTGCATATTCACCCTCACACATAAACACACACACACACACACACACACACACACACACACACACACACACACATACACGCACGCACACACCCTTCCCTCCCCTTCTCCCCTGGTGCAGTGCCGTGAGCATCTTCTCGCTGTCAGTGTGGCTGCCTGCGCTGCTGTTCATTGAGAACAGGAAAGGGGACATGTCAACCCTCCTCATCTTCGTGAACGTCGTCATTGTCTTCTTCGGCCTCGCCGGCGTTGGGCTCGGTGCGTTGATGATGATGATGATGATGATGATGATGATGATGATGATGATGATGATGATGATGATGATGGTGGTGGTGTTGGTGGTGGTGTTGGTGGTGGTGATGATGGCGGCGGTGGTGGTGGTGGTGGTGGTGGTGGTGATGCATGATGACAGTGGTGCCTGTGCCTGCAACTGCAAGTGGACTGGTGGTGATGGAGGCACACTCGTGATGCGTTTCTTCATTGCCTCATCCTCTCAACCCGCCAAACAACACCAACGCCAACATCATCCACCCTGATGTGCTGCTGTTTAGGCCTGTGGGCCGCAATGGACGGCGTTGTGGAGAAGATCAAGGAGTGCAGCCTTGGCGTGTGAACACCTACACTCGCACACATACACACACGCACGCACACGCACACACACACGCACACACACACACACACACACACACACACACACACACACACACACACACACACACACACACACACACACACACACACACACCAGAGTGTTACAAGCACAAGTGAGCGTGTGTGCGTTTGTGTTTTCTTGCTCGAAGTCCACGCCTACCTGACACCATTCTCCCTATCGTCCATCTCAACCATCCATCTAACTCAAACCACCCACCCCAATCAACCACTGAGTCTACGTCTAAATGCCCGTTGTTGCCTCCTGTGTTTGCTGGTTTGTTCTCAGCTGCGGCTACTGAGCCGTGTTGTCGTCACTGGCGTTGCTCTTGTCTCTGCGGTGGATGACTGTTGTGTGTATCCATCTTTGTCATCGCTGCTGTTGACTGCATCGTCACCACATCGCCCCACCACTCCATCACCGCATCAACACCGCCACCATTAGCGGGTAACACTCTCGTTTTCATCCCATCCCGTCTCCGCGTTAGCCGACCAAGCTTCTGTTGTCCCTTGTTCTTCCCCCTCCTCCTGTACGCGGTTGTTGCTTGCTTGCTGGCGCGCATGCATGCTTGTGGTCGTTTGCTTGCAAGCACGCAGTGCGTTTGTGTTTGGCCTGTTTGTTCGTCTGTGTTTATCGTTGTGTTTGAGCACGTGTATTTCCGTGTCAACGTCAACACCAATACACCGCAGCCACAGCAGAGTGGGGATGTAACATGATGAACAGTAGGCCACTCGAACAAGTGTATGTGTGTGTGAATGCAAGCACACGCAATTGTAAAGGGTGAACAGCACGTGTGAGGAGAACTTGAGGCGATAACACGAGGTCAACACTCCAACCAACAATCCATCTGATCAGCACCAGATGAGGATACATACACTTCAACTCGTTAGGGTGAGGGAGAAGAACGACAAACAGAACAGCGTGCGCACCAACAGCAGCTATGTTACGTGTGTGTGCGTGTGTGTGTGTGTGTGTGTGTGTGTGTGGGTGTGAACATGTCACATGGTCGTGCACGCATGCGCGTGGCCGCAGCAACGTGCACCGCTCGCAGCAACATCAACACCATCGCCACCATCACCATCACCATCACCATCACCATCACCATCGACAAGGTGTTGCGTCAGAGTGCGATCAAGTCCCCTCGCCTGGCGTCATGCGAAACACGTGGAGCCCTCGGCACCGGCTGTCATGCGCACGAGGTCGGGAGCCTGGCCAGGATACACGAGGTCGTCCATCTTGCTGTACTCCAATCCTGTGCAGTGGTGGCGGTGGTGCAATGTTGGTGGTGGTGGTGGTGGTGGGTGAGCGTGCATAAGGTGAAGGGCAGTGTAGGGGCGACAACGTACTGCTGCTTCGCACAGAGCAGGTAGGGAGACGCAAGGACACGGGCAAGGAGACACGCACCCAAAACGATGTTCACAAGCACACACGTGCACACACGTGCACACACGTGCACACACACACACACACACACACACACACACACACACACACACACACACACACACACACACACACACCGCTGTGGATGACGCATGATTTGCATGCGAAGATTGTGCCGCCGCTGGAGACGAACTTCTCGACGAGTTTGGCCATGGGCTTGAAGGGCTCACCGACCTAGTGGGGTGGGGGGAGGATGGAGGTGGTGTCAAAGGAAAAAGCAGATAGGAACAGACAAGGCACCAGAGAGTGAACCAGACAGCTACCTTATGTAAGCACACACGCACCTACGTTTTCAAACCAACGCAAACGCAAAAACACACAAACCAACGCAACCGCAAACACACATACACACACACACACAACACACAACACACACACACACACACATAACACATGAGCGTTCCCACGCACGTTAATGTCGACGTAGCGCTTGCAGACGTCGCTGTCCACGCCCTCCTTACGGAAGAGGAGGGGCGCCTTGGCCATGAGCGCAAAGGCGGTGGTGCGCCCGTTGACCTGCGCTGCCGTCGCCACGCTGAGAGCAAGCGTTGCACGGTCTGCGTCCGCTGTCTCGAGCACAACCACATATTGCGGCTTGAGCCAGGCTGCCCGTGGCGCATGGAACGCCTCAACACCGCCTGCAGGGGTCGAGAGGAGAAGATGGAGGGGGGGGGGGAGGAGATGGTTGTTGAGAGGCATCAAGGGGACGAGCGAGGGCAAGGGTGGGGAAGAGATTGCGCGTGTGTATGTATGTGCATGGGGCACAGCAGTGATCAACGAAGCCCGCAAGCAAGCAGGCGATCATCAACGCACACACACACACACACACACACACACACACACACACACACACACACACGCACACGCACACGCACACACACACACACACACACACACACACACACACACACACACACGCACACGCACACTTAATAAGCAAGGAAAGACCCACCGTCGAGGGATGCTGCTGGGAAGCCAAATGAGGCAAGCTGTTGAGCGGCAACACCGGAGCGGTAGCCAACGTTGCACACAAGCACAATCTCCTTCTTGTCCTTGACGCCATGCTTGGGGTTGCCCTCTGCAGAATCGCGCAGCAGCGGCCCAACTGTACAGGGCACAAACAGCACGCACGAGAGGGCACAAGAATGGTGAAATCACAAATGTCAATCACAAAGGTCAATCACATCACACACCACATCAATGTCAACGAGGGTGGTGCTCTAGGTCCACACAGCAGCGTGGGATATGCATTAACGCATGCGTGCCTGCTCGCTTGCTTTGGCATGCTTGTTGGAATACAACGTGTCCCCAACTTCGCGTGACATGACATGCATGGGACCCCCACAACAATCATGTCAAAGTGTCGCTTACGCGGATAGTTGATGGCGCCCGGGATGGTCTTTGCGCCCTCTGCCGTGAGCTCATCAGGCTCACGCACATCCACAACGATGGCGTCCTTCTCCTTCAGGCACTGTTTCACGGTGTCGACGTCCACCAGCTTGGCTGCCGTTCCAGAGGACGAGGACGAGGAGGACGAGGATGCGCCAAAGGCCATCACCGCATGGTCAGACTTCATGCACATCTTTGCTGGGGTGAGAAGCTGGGGAAGCTGCAGATGGTGGTCAGTCGGTCAGTGTTGCTTGCTTGCTTGTGATGAGTGTGAAAATGTCTGCACTGATGTAGTGCAGCATCAGTCTGGTGTTGCGTCCTGCAGTGCTTGTTGATGTGTTTGATGATGAAATGCTTCCTGGGCATGCGTTCTGGGCGTCAATTGTTAAGCAAGAAAGGCATTTTCTGTTTTACCCACGCAGAGCCGACTGGTAAAAAGCAAGTTGTACTTGCCGTGACGTCATCAAGAAAGCAAGAAAGGCGCTTCACGAAGTGGTAAGAGGGGAAGAGGGTAAGACGATGTGAACCGACGTGCGTTGTCTTGGTTGCAGCCTCAAGCCACGAACAAACACGCGCGCATGCATTCACCACGCAGACCTCAAGCCACCAACAAGCAACCAACAAGCAACCAGCAAGCCAAGCAAGCCAGCAGCCACCCACCAACAGGACCAAGGAGCAAAGAGCAGAGGAGACCAGCACAATGAAGGTGAGCCCGATAGTGGACGCGACGGAGCCGCAGCCGTTGTCGCAGCCGGAGGAAGTGGTGTTGGCAATGGAGGTGCCCGCCAAGAAAAGGGCAGGAAGCAAGTCGCGCTCCCCGCTCATCACCATTCTCATCCTCACCGCGGTCGTCGGCGTCGTGGCAACAAGCATCACCACAGGCGTGTACTACGGGACCAAGTCAGCATCCTCGTCGTCTTCCAGCCAAGGCGCTGGTGGAAGTAACACGAACAATGTTGGTGGTACTCCAACCAACGCAACAACAAACGGCACTTCTGCAAGCGACTCATCCACAACTACGACAACTACGACAACGACAACAACAACCACCACAACGACCACAACGACGACGACAACGACAACGACAACGACAACAACGACAACGACGACGTCGACAACACGTGCAGCTGCGGCCATGGTCACGTTCCGATATGCTGGTGTTCAGCGAATCGAGTCAACCGCCGTCAACGACGCTGGTATGGTGTGCATGGCGGGTACCTCCAACCAGGCCATCTTTGGTGACACCTTTCAAGGCGACTTCGATGCGCTCATTGCATGCTTCGACGCCACTGACCAGCTCGTGTGGGGCAAGACCTTTGGTACCGCCTTCTATGACTGGGCAACCAGCGTGGCCTTCGACAGCAACGGTGACCTCCTTGTGACGACTTCTTTCCGTGTCTTTGCGCACCGGAGCGGCGACTTGACGCTGATGAAGCTTGACAGCGCAACCGGCAGCGAGATCTGGAGCAAGACTTTCCCACAAGGCACCAGATCCGCACAAGCGATTGTCACAGTCGACACTGTGAACGGCGGCCTGCTTTTATGCGGCGACGTCACCAACGACCGGAAAATCGACGACACTGGTGCTTCAACGTCATACTACAATCCTCGCGACGCCTACGTGATGCACCTTGACGACGACGGCAACAAGGAGTGGGAGACGTACCTCCGCCACGCGTCCAACGAGGAGTTCCGCGCATGTACAGTTGGCCCAGACGGCAGCATTTATGCCGCCGGCTTCACAACCGGCAGCCTGTACGGTGACACGAACCAAGGTGGTGACAGCGACGCCTTGGTCGTCAAGTTTGACAGCAATGGCACGTTCCTTTGGGGCAAGACGCACGGTGGCGATGCCCGGGACCAGTTCTACAGCATTGCCGTGTCGAGCAGCGGTGAAGTGTTTGTGGCCGGTGTAAGCTACAGCAGCAGCGCGCTCGGCAACCCGCCCAAAGGGAGTGCAGACAGCGTCTTTGCCCGCTTGAGCGCGGACGACGGCAGCATCGTGTGGGCATCCGACGAGCTGGCTACAAGCGGCGGCGACAATGGATTCACCGTGCTTGTTGACGATGCTGGCAACGCCGTGTTTTTCGGCGCGGCCTTCGGCGATGTTCTCGGGCAAACGCAGGATTCCGAAGTTGATCTCGTCGTTGCTGCCGCTAGACCCTCTGATGGCACAATCATGTGGGGCGAGCTTGTCAAAACGGGGCACGGTGCTGGAAGAGAGTACATGTGTGGCGCACGCAGCAACAACGGCCGCATTGTTGCTGGTGGCTATCGTACTGGTGATGGAACGCTTGACAATGAGGACATAGCCCTGGTCCGCTTCTACGGACCAAACCCTTGAGCGTACGGCGTCTGCGGGCGCATGGTTGTGTGTTTGTCTGCTTGTTTCTTGCTTGTGTCAATACGCATGCGTGCTTGCCTGCTTTTGTGCGCGTGTTTGTGTCATGCGCGCGCGTGTGTGTGAGTGTGAGGGGAAGAGCTTTCTATCCTGTTTGAATGTGTTCTCGGCTACGATCGGCAGCTGCTTTCATTGCTATGAATGGGAATATGTGAAGACTATTTTACGAGAACAACAGTAGCATACAGAGTACACACGCTACATCGTGAAAAGTCATGGATGGTGTGTGATGGGTGTCACACATGCACGCACAAACACATGCAGTTGCCCTCGTTGCGGAAATGGTGTTTGTCACTGTGTTTTGAGACCACAAGGGCCAAAACTGGGACGTGGAAGACAACAGAGCAGTTGTAATGTAACTGCACCACCAACAACAATACAAGGAGCAGTGAGGACAGGCACGGAAACAGCATTGGCACAGGGAAGTAGCGAGCAAGAGAGGACAACAAAAGTGAGCGCAGACAACAAAACAGCCATTTCAATCTAATGCACATGCAATGTGTGCGCAAAGAACGACGGGCTAGGCCAGAGAGGAAGCTACACATTGCAGTTGTCAGTTGTCGCTCGAATCGTCGTCGTCATCATCATCATCATCATCATCATCATCATCATCATCATCACTCGTGTTGTCGTCGTCGTCGTCATCATCATCATCATCATCATCATCATCATCATCATCATCATCATCAGCCTCACTGCTGTCCACAATCTCGTCACTGTCAGGTCCACTCGACACGGATGGTGCGCGCTTTCTGCTTTTACCCTTCGTCGCACGCGCATCACCGCCATCATCACCATGATTGTCATCACTCGAGTCGGCGCTGCTGTCATCCTCCTCCTCATCCTCATCGTCGTCATCCTCGCCGCTGCTGCTGGTGTCTGTGTCACCGGACGTCGTGTCCTCTTCGCCAGATGTCGTCGTGTCGTCGTCGCTCGTTGTCTCCTCCTCGGTCGTCGTGTCCAGTGTAAACTCCTTCGATGTTCCGCCGAGCTCAACCGGCTCCTGCATGGGCGAGTGAGTGAGTGAGTGAGTGAGTGAGTGAGTGAGTGAGTGAGTGAGTGAGTGAGTGAGTGAGTGAGTGAGTGAGTGAGTGAGTGAGTGAGTGAGTGAGTGAGTGAGTGAGTGAGTGAGTGAGTGAGTGAGTGAGTGAGTGAGTGAGTGAGTGAGTGAGTGTGTATGTGTGAGCGAGTGTGTGAGTAAGTGAGTGTGTGTGTGAGTACATTTGTTTGTGCCCCAAAGGGCGAGAGTGTTTGTGCCTTCAACCAGTGATGTGCGACGAGCACGAGCACTCGGTCTGATCATGGCAGGCAAGCCGCAACCGTGCAACGTACGGCGACTTGGCGCAGCGTGGGATCTGTCGGCTCCTCCGCAAATGCAGGAAGGGCATTCCATCCATGGCACGCCTGTGGGAGTGAAGGAAGACAGGATTTTGGGTTGGGGGACAGGGGACGGGCGTTGGTGTTGGTACACAGATGCAGGGATGGATGGATGTCCCAACAATGCGCACACACGCACACACATACACAACCTCACACACACAACCTCACACACACGCAAGCACACGCACACGTGCACGCACCTGGTTGAGGAAGAAGGAGAGGGATCCAATCTGAAACTCGGAGCGATCTGTGTCGAAAAGCAGACGAAGAGGCGTGGAGGAAGGGGTTATGGCGTGTGGAGCGCGGAAGTTCGGGAGGTGCTATGAGTGACATGCATCATCATCATGTGTTCACACACACACACACACACACACACACACACACACACACACACACACACACACACACACACACACCGTCGAATGTTGATCTGAGGTTTGGTGCGGGCTTCTCGCTCAGGAACAGCTTCTTCGATTTCTTGTGGATGCGCAGATCCTGGTGGTGGTGATGACGAGGGCAGTGGTGACAGTCAGTACAGTGGAGTCGAGTGACACGACTGCAACCGTGCATCTTCATCATAACACATGATATCACACGCACACACGCACACGCACACACACACGCACACACACACACACACACACACAAAACTCCCCCACCTCCAACCCCATACACAGCGGCACCTTTGTGAAGATGATGGTGTTGATGAGGCGAGCCTTGTCGCGCAGGTCGTAGTTTTGGTCGTACTTGGCAAGCTTCAGCACATACGCGCAAATGTGCTTTGTCTGTGGAAGTACGGGTGGCGGTAGAGGGGGCATGGGATGGTGAGGGAGGAAGGTCAGCCAAGCAAGGGCGTTTGCAAGGCAAGGCGTGGGCACATGGGGACACGGAAGCCATCACAAAAGCGTCCGACCCGCACATGTGACTGACACATCTAGTGTCAAGTGTGCAAAGCAGATGCATGCGTTACCTGCTTTGGGTTTGTGAGGAAGAGCTTGGCAGCGAGGTTGAGTGTCTGCAGCTTCACCGCAACATCCTCTTGCGGAAATGTCCTGTAATGCCATACGGGCGTGATGCGCAGAGCAGAGTACAGGGTGGCGTCATGTTGTGTCAAGCCGGGCGGGGGGGGGAGAACACGCACGCACGCAAAACACAAGATTGTTGTCATTGTACAGAACACGGGCAAATACACACACATTGACACAGACACAGACACAGCGTCTGTGCGAGTGCGGGGCGCCCGCATGCCTGCAGGCAACTGACTTTGCCATCTGTCTGAGCACGTCGGGGGCCATCTTGGGAACGTGCTGGGAGTACTCGCCAACAATCCACAGCAGCGACGCGCGGGCGGTCGGCTCCGTGATCTTGACGGCGAGCTTGCTCATGGAACGGATGATGTCCTTGTGCGCCTCCGGGTTGAGCTGCAGCAGCTTCTTAATCACAACCACGCTCTCAGCAACAACAAGCTCTGCAGGCAGAGAAAGGAAGGCGGAAGGCGGTGAAAACAAGGGCTGAGGTGAGCGCATACGTATGTGTGCATATGCACATGCATACATCGACAACAGAGCAGTTGCAGCACAGCCATGTTCGTCACCAGAACACACACACACACACACAGAGGCACACGAACCGTCGTTGTTGTTGAGGAGGGCCATGAGGCCGGAGAGACACGTCTCGGTAACGTTGCGCAGCTTGGACGCGCACCGCCCGATGCACTGGATCGTCTGCGCCACAAACCGCTTGTCGTTGTGCTTGACGTACTCCTGAGCAGCACACACGCACCGCAGGTCATGGGCACGGGGGAGGGGGAGATGTGTGCATGTGAGTGAGTGAGTGAGTGAGTGAGTGAGTGAGTGAGTGAGTGAGTGAGTGAGTGAGTGAGTGAGTGAGTGAGTGAGTGAGTGAGTGAGTGAGTGAGTGAGTGAGTGAGTGAGTGAGTGAGTGAGTGAGTGGGTGAGTGAGTGTGTGAGTGGGTATACACCAGCAACTGCGTGCACCAGACCTGGAATTCCCTGAGTATTGGGGAGACGGTGGTGTCTGAGGCGAGGGTCGTCAGAATCTCCAGTTTCAGCAGCTTGCACCGCAGTGGATCGTCACTCCTCTGCACACACAATGTGAGCAAAAGGTGAGAACACTTCGTTGGGGATGCAGAAACATGCGTGCCACACCGCAACACACAAAACCCAACCAGCACCGCCAGCACCACCTATCGCTACCACGGCAGACAGGAGCAGCATGTGGATGAAGCAAACACACCACGAAGAAGGCCTTGATGTATGGCTCAAACATGGATGTGCGGGTCTGGACGAGGCTGGCAATGGCCATCAGCGCAAGCTCCTTCACCTCCCTGCAGCCACAAACGAAGGTGGTGGCCAAATGCACACATGCACACGCACGCGCACGCGCACGCGACGTGAACACGGGCATGAAGCGTGGAGATGGTTGGGGAAAGAAAGGTCGGGCGCGGTGGCCAAGATGCATTGCGAACGCCATGGATTGCACGCGTTCAAACAGCAGCAGTGGCAACAACAACAACAACAACAACAACAACAACAACAACAACAACAACAACAACAACAACAACAACAACAACAACGACAGACAACAACAACAACAACAACAACGACAGACAACAACAGGCAACAACGAGAACAACTCACAAGAACAACTAACAAGAACAACAACAAGAAGACCGACCAAGCAAGCGACCACACCTGTCCTCTGTTGTGAGTCTGATGAGGGCGCGGGTGACGAGGGGCACCTCGGTGTTTGGTGCGAGGTGGTGGTATGCCTGCACCACCGCCATCACCACCCCGGCATTACGCGACAGCAGCAGCGGCTGGATGGCGCGCAGAAACAGGCGGAAATCAGCATCCATCTCATAATGCTTCTTCTTTCTCTTCTTCTTTCCTTCACCATCGCTGCCATCAGCATCATCATCATCACTATCATCGTCGTCGTCGTTGCTTGACGTGTCGTCGTCGTCGTAGAATTTCCCCGTGTCGATGCCGCTGCTGCCGTGCAGATTTGGGTCAACAAAGTTGACGCGGCAGTACCGAACAAGCTGTCGACACACGCGTGTACACATCGTGGTGGTGGGGGTGGTGGTGGTGGCATGGCGGTGAGTGGTGCAGTGATGATGGAAGGAGGGCGTTGAGTGGGAACCAGGCTTGGGAGGCAATGATGGTGATGGTTGCAGTGGTGGGGGGAAGCAGTGTGCTGGCGTTGCATCGGTGGGCGCACGGATTCAGATTCCCCACACGGACAACGAGTACGTAAGGGAGCACCAGCAGCAGCACCAGCAGCATCAACGCAACATGTCGTGGCACCACCGCCGCCACCACGACAATGAGCAGAGGCAGACGCTGGACTCACAAGCTTGACGATTGCAATCTGGCCCCACTCGTCGACGTCAATGAGAACGTCGCACAGCTTGCGGAAGTGCTTGTGCAGCAAGTCAAGCCGGTCGGGGCAAATCTGTGATGGTGATCATGGGTGGTGGCGGTGGCGGCGGCGGTGAATGTATGAAGAGGATCAATTGCGGACACACACCAGAGGAGGGGGGTGTTGATCGGGGCACGTGATACAACGCAACAGTTGCAAATCATTGGTAAACTGACGCGCACACGCCACTGAGAGCGTGAGCTGCCAGTGCCCCCTCGACAAACAGCACTTATTCAACAACAACAACAACAACAACAACAACAACAACAACAACAACAACAACAACAACAACAACAACAACAACAACAACAACAACAACAACAACAACGGCCACGGCGGGCACGCCCCTCCCTCACCTCCTGAAAGGCCATGATGACGCTGCCGAGGACCATCGTCGTGCGGTCGTGCAGCAGCTTCTCAAGAATCTCCATCACAGACTCCCGCTCAAGCGGTGCAAGGCTGCACACACACACACACACGCACGCATACACACAGACGTTGTGTATGTTTGGGTTGTGTGGATGTGTGGATGTGTGTGTGGTTGTGCGTATGAGTGAGCGAATGTGTGTGAACTTGGGAGTAAGTGGCCAAACAACACACACACACACACACAGTCGCACACACATACACACACGCACACACACAGTCGCACAGACATGATGTGCTTTCGCGTGTGCACCTGTTGAGCTTTGGCAGAGCGTGTGCGGCGGTCTTGCGGACGTAGGGGGACATGTCGCTTGCAGCCTGCTTGAGGGAGAGCAGCAGGATGGGCACAATCTCGGGGAGGCGGATGGATGACAGCACACGCAGGGCACTGGCGCGGATGAGCTGGTTTGGGTCGTGCAGCCCGCGCTGGAAGGTGGAGATGGACAGCAACGCCACGTCCGGCACGTCCTCCGCATAGCGCACCAAGTACATGTACACCAGCTTCCGCAGCTGTGGTGGTGGTGGTGATGGTGATGATGATGATGATGATGATGATGATGATGTTGTTGTTGTTGTTGTTGTTGTTGAGAACAATGATGGTGGGGAGAGAACGTGTGTTGCAGGTTGTGAGTTGTGGAGATGACTCGGCTGAGGTCAAGCACACGCACACAAACACAGACACACTCTCACATACATACACGCACATACACACACGCCGTCTCCCCCGTTTCCTCTCCTTGCCCTGCCCCTGCTCACCTCCATGCTCTTGGATGCGACGCATTTGACCACGTGCGGGAAGAACTCGGACTGGTCATTCCCCGTGGCCATCTCACGAACAATGTCCTGCGCACACGCACACACATAGATGGAGTGAATACACGCTGGTGATGCATCTGCTCTGGCATAGACGGGGCGACGATGGTTGCATTTCATTCAGCGAGCACACCGGCATCAATCACTCACTTTCATAACGCGAATTTTCTCCGACTCCTTGCCCACATCCAGGATCTGGATGGGGCTTTGCGTGCCACTGCAGGTGTGTGTAGGGTGTAAGTGTGTGAGTGTAAGTGTGTGTGTGTGTGGGGGGGGGGTGTGTGCATGAGCGTCGCTGCGCCAAAGAGGAGGAGAAGAAGACGAACCAAACACAATCGCGCAAAGACACACACACACACACACACACACACACACACACACACACAGATAAGGACAACCGGTACGACAAACAATAACCCCCGCGGCAGCAACAGTGACGACAGCAACTACAACAACAGCATCAGTAGCACTGCCGTCGCTCACCGTTGAAGAAATCCAGCACGGTAGCCGGAGTGCGTTTGGATGTTCATGTTGGAGAAGCCCTGTGGCAAAGAAGACAGTGAGACGGTGGTGATACGACAGCGGCGACTGTAAGCGAACGTGGCCGGTGCCAAAGAAAAAAAAATCAGTTCAACAGCACAGACGTGCAAGAGCAGGAGGGTGATCGTGTCAGTGGCGGCCACAACCTCGGTAGGGACGTCGACATCGTCGCTGCCAAATCCTTCAGCGCCCATCATGGCGTTGGAAGAGTGTTCTGTGTCGTTAACAAGGTGTGGATAACGACAGAAGGGAGTGGGGAGTGGTGGGTGGTGTGAGCGTGAATGACAGAACAAGTGGACAGCGACGCAAGCAAACCAACGCACGAGGGCAACTGCAGGAAACGCAGTGAACACAGACACCTCACCGTAGGACATGACTGCGTGTCCTCTTGTTGCCTTGCGTATGAGACGCCAACAAGCACACACAAGCTATGTGACCGTGACAAGGGTGGGATGGTGATGTCTCTTCTTCTTCTGTCTGGCTGCTTGCTTGGTTGATGGACGGATGGATGATTGTCTTCTTCTTCTTGGCTGGTGTTTGTGTTTGGAGCGAGTGTGGACTTTTATGGACAATATCGCGAAAAAGGGTAACAAGAAATGCAAGCGTAAAATCAGGGTCGAATTTCGAAAGGGGGGGTTGTTGTTGTTGTTGTTGTTGTTGTTGTTGTTGTTGTTGTTGTTGTTGTTGTTGTTGTTGTTGTTGTTGTTGTTGTTGTTGTTGTTGTTGTTGTGTTTCTTCTTCTCCCTTGGTCATTTCCGTCTCCTCTTTCCTTTCGTCTCGTCTCGCTCTCTTCCCTCGGAACGCCCCCCCCCCTCACACACATACACACACACACACACACACAAATCATCACCATCGCCACCGTCATGCCAGCGCTAGGCGGAACGCGCCCGTGAGCGTGCCTTGGCGAACACCAAACCGCGTCACCTCCGCCTCAAACGGTGTCGCAGCACCCACGTCAACGTCTGTCAGTGGAACCTGCGGTCGTGATGTGCGTGTGTGTGTGTGTGTGTGTGTGTGTGTGTGTGTGTGTGTGTGTGTGTGTGTGAGCGGGAAACGGGAGATGACATGGTGACGAGTCTGTACTTTGCCAGATAACACACACACACACACACACACACACACACACACACACATATTACACATCACGCACGCACACACACACATTACACATCACGCACGCACACACACACACACAATACACATCACACACACATCGCACTACACACGCGTATTCACCTGTGCCGATCCCATGTAATCGTGTCTGGAGGCGCGGTCCCAATCGCGCACCACCATGGTGATGTGGCACGCGCGTATCAGCTCAAGCTGCTGCTCGTGTGGGCGCAGCGCCAGCGTTGGAATCTCCTGTCATGGGACGTGGTGGTGGAGAGCGTGAGTGTAGTGGTCGATTGGGGTGGGGAGGACGAGAGGGTGGCAAACACTGTCACAAAGACGGAAGACGAGCGAAAGCACATGTGTATAGGGCGAGAAAGACACATGCACCGCAGGAGAGAAACACACACACAGAGGCAAACACAGACAGACACAGACACAGACACAGACACACACAGAGACACAGACACAGACACACACACAGACACACACACACACACAGATACACGCACAAATACGCACAGGTATATCTGCGTGCACACGCGAACTCAGACAGCAGCACCAACCTTGGCTGCCCACGTGGGGTCGAGCGTGCTGTGCTGCACCCTGGTTGACTTTGCGTTTGAGCCATTGTATTTGAGAATGCCATCCGCGCTCTGAAACGTGATGTATACGTCGCTCTTTCCCGTCACATCCTGTTGTGCATGTAGCGCATGCCATGGTTGTTGGCGAGGGAGCCAACGGGCGCAAGTAAGGTCATGGCCCATCGTCATGGTAGCACGACAATCACGTCACTTGTGTCATCCACAACGCACGTCACACACACACACACACACACACACACAACAACAACAACAACAACAAGACAGAGAGAGAGAGAGAGAGAGAGAGAGAGAGAGAGAGAGAGAGAGAGAGAGAGAGAGAGAGAGAGAGAGAGAGAGAGAGCCCAAATACAATCACATTGTGGCAAGTGCGGTGTGCTGGGATGACCTGATCGGCGAGGGCATGCCCGGCGAGCTCATCAAAGACAAGGACAAGGCGGCGGCCCAGCGTGGGGGGACGCTCGCTGGTAACGATGGTGGTCGTGGCGATGGTGGTCGTGGCGATGGTGGTGGTGGTGATGGTGGTGGTGGTGGTGGCGGTGAGCAGTCAACTGTTGAATCATGATCACGTTGACGTGCGAGCACAAGCACACACACACACGCACAGACACAGACACACACACACAGACACACCCGGACGTGTGAGCTCACATCATGTGTTTGACGCGGATGGAGAACGTTGCACGCAGCGGTTTGTGGTCAGATGTGGGCACGCTGTCACAATGCATGACACAGAGCAGGTGGCTGTCGAGGTGAAGAGAAGAAGGGGGGCAGAGGGTGTTTCATCGACATTGCATGTACACATCAACCGCCAGCACTTCTTATCACAGTCGCGATTCTCTTGCACACATACACACACACACACACACACACACACACACACACACACACACACACACACACACACACACACACACACACAACACGACCACCACCGAGTGCCACGTTGCCTGACGTGAGGAGGGGTTCGAGCGAGGTCTGCGTGACGGCTGTGTCGAGGCCCGGCATCGACCTCCACAGGATGCGATCGCAATATGCCGGGATGCGCTGGTCACGGTACTGTAGCTCGCTCGCCCGCTCAACCTGGCCATGGTTCATGGTGGTGGTGGTGGTTGGTGGTGGTGATGATGATGATGGTGATGATGTGAGGAAGGAGCTGGTAATCTCGAGCGTGTACGCGCGCCAGAACACCCAAAACACATGCACTCACATTCGTTTACCCATGCCAACAACAACACCACCTGACACCACAAAGCACCGCAGCCTTGTACCATAACCGCCACCCACCACCACTCTTCGCTACCCTTGACCACGATCATGACGAGACCCACTTTGTATGTTGGCGGAAAGAGCATTGCGCCCTCCTGAAATCCCGTGAGGACACGACCGGCGCTGCGATCCGGCCGCAGCTCGTCGGCCTGGTGGTGGTGGCCGTGGTGCAATGGCGCGCGTGCGTGTGCATGTGTGCGTGTGCATGGTGTGTGTGTGTGTGCATGGTGTGTGTGTGCGTGTGTTTGTGTGTGTGTGTGTATGTGTGTGTGTGTGTGTATGTGTGTGTGTTTGTGTTCGTTGTAGTTCAGGTTAATATGCACACACGCGCGCACGTTCACACGCACACTTCCACCACCAGCAGATGCGCATTGGGTGCACACTGCAACAGATGCAGATGGGGAGTTACCTCGTTGATCTTGTCCCATTCCCTGCTCTCGATCCACGATGTGACCTGCACAGTTGGTGGTGGATGAGGATTGCACACAAGTGATTGAGTCAGGACGTGTGGAATATGCACATTGGAGATGCACACAAATACACCGCAACAAACACGAGCACACACACACACACACACACACACAGACACACAGCCACACACACACACACACACACACACACACACACACACACACACACAGCCACTGCTGTACCAGTTTGAATCTGTCGTCGTGTGATTCCGGAACGGATTCCAGCGATTGCACTGCAGGTGCGCACCACACGAACGGATTTGAGCTTTTGTGGTTCATGTTCCCGTGTTGAGGTGTGTGTGTGTGTGTGTGTGTGTGTGTGTGTGTGTGTGTGTTCGTTGCTATGTCACGTGTAGGAAAGCAACGCTCACATCATCAACGCCCTTTCCTCACCACACACACACACACACACACCCTGCATTGATTGTCATCACCACCACCACGATCCCAAATCACCACCGCCGCCACCGCCACCACCTTGCTCGAGGTTGAGTCTGTAGTTGAGGTCACCGATCCAGAACACGTGATGGAATGCGCCCAGCGCATCGCAGCCAAAGTCGGACAGCGACTGATTCGCAAAGGAGACAGGCGTGGTCGAGGGAATGATGATGGTGATGGTGGTTGATGGCGGTTAATGGTGGTGGTGGTGATGGTTAATGGTGGTGGTGTGCAGCGAAGATGTATCGACAGAGAGGAAGTCCAAAGCGAAAAACCATGGACAGACAGACAGACAGACAGATACGCAAGCACACACGCAAGCACAAACACACACACACACACACACATGTACAGCACTCCGCTGGCAACCGCACCATGAGGCCCTTCAGGATCTCGCGTGTGTCGTTGTGTCGCAGCAGTTTCCGCTCCTCCCCCGCGTGCGCGTTGAGATGCGTAGAGATGACAGCAATCTTGTAGTTGCCCACGCTGAACCGCACACCAATGCCGCCTATAAGGTGTGCGTGTGTGTGTGTGTGAATTCAGGCCATTCGGCACGTGTTGAAACGGCTCACGCAGTCAAACCCACACCTCTTACACACACCCATGCAATCTCCCCTCCCTCCATTCTCTCCCAATGCAAACTCATTCGCACTCAATGCACCCTCCTCCCCGAGCAAATCCTAACCCTTGTTGGCGATGACACGCATGACGCCTGTTGCTTCGCGGCCAAGTGCGTAGCTGTAAATGTGCTTGTCCATATCCATTCGCACAAAAACTGCACAACACCCAATACATGGCGTGAATGAATGAATGAATGAATGAATGAATGAATGTAATGGAAGGCACAGGGGGTGATGGAGTGATGGCGGCAGGTATCTTGGGCAGTTACACGAGGACATAGTGCTGCACGGGGCAAAATCCACTTGCACACGCACGCGTGTGGGCATTCACATACATGCACACTCAACCACAAGGATACGCACCACACACACACACACACACACACACACACACACACACACACACACACTACACACACACACACACACACACACACACACACACACACACG